TCAATAACTTTGTATCATCATAAGGTTTGAGTGAATGATTACATCTGCGTTCTCTTGGTTTTGTTGATTTTGAAACATAACTTTCTCCTTTCTATTCTATCTTAGAACATGTTTGGAAAAGTGAGAAAACGCGGCGATACCTCAAATACCAAAAACCGAAATTGGACGTGTAACCAAACATGCTATTAGTTTGTAAGGAGAATAGAACTGCTTAGAGACCACCTTGATAATCGTCACACTCCCGTGCATCCAAAAATGCACATAATAAGAACGGGACGAAACTTTCAATAAATACAACAAAAACAGCAGCGCTCTCCATTAGTGCTCCCTCATATACTCCTACAATGTTGTCGACTGCAGATCGCAGAAAACACCAGCTTGTTCAAATTCCGATAAAGAAAAGTGCTATATTGCCACAAAAGCTGTATTTGACATCGATTTGTACTGAATAGCATATGACATAACAATAGAAATGTGTTCAAATTCTATTATGCTATAATGGAATGGGATGGAAAGCTGCAACCTTATGTTCCATTGTTTGGATTAATTAACAAAGAATGAAGTAGAGCAGAACCTGATGGAATGCATTCCATCCCATTCATTCACTGTTTGTACCCACCGATTTGGGCGGGAGTAGTCAAAAGCGGCCAATAGCGGCGCTATCCCGTTATAGCCGAGCGGAGTGAAAGCCGGCCACTATGGGAAGAGCCTTAGCAGTGCAGGACACTATAGCAGCCGCTATAAGGTAAATAGCAGGTTGTGGGGGCGGAGCGGTTTCTGTCCCGTTATTCATTTCCTCTCATAAAAACCAAAATTACCCCCTTAAATTTAAAACATTTTAAGGGTAATTTTGAGTTTTTCAATCAAATTTGAGTTGAGACTCAACCTTAACCTTCATTCACAAACGTTTCTGCACTTCAGCCGTTTCAAAGAAAAATCACAAGTTCCTCCCTCACCTCTCTCTCTACACTTCGATCTCCCCTCTTCACTTCATATGTTTATAATTATTATTCATGTAATTTTACCAAAAAATTATCAAATAGCAACCATCCCGATATCCCATTTTTGGAGTCGACCACTCCGCGCCGCTATCTGGAATTAACTACTTTAGCAGAATGACAAAATTACTCCATAGCATCATGAAATACCCAAACAATAGAATGACATCTTTATTCAGTTCCTCTCCGTTCCACTCTGCTCTATTCTACACCGCACCGCTACATTCCACTCCATTCGTCTTACAATATCCAAACATAACCTCAAATTTCCCAAATATTATTCCAAACAAAAAAACAAATACATACGACAACAACATTCTAAGCCAATAAATGTAAGGTTGTTTCACTACACAATATATCAAAATTACAGAAACATCATTGAGTCTAATTTTCTCAAAACTAATAAGCATTCAAGAGAGAGAAAGACAAACTAATAACCATTCTAGAGAGAGAAAGAGAGAAAACTCACTTGCTCAATATTACGATCAGCACTCCCGTAGTTAACAAGATCTGCCATTCAATGAAACAGATTCACCTAACCACCACCACCCTCTCCGATCCCTAACCGGAGCTCCGGTCATCATAAACAACTCCAACCACTTCTTCTCTTCAAAACCATTCACCTTCACATCAAAACCAAAACCTCTACAACACAAACGAACCTCAACGATTCACTCCTCTTCGCGAAAAATCAAAACCCCATTGATGATTCCAAGTCAAACCCAGTTCTTCTTCCTGTTGTTTTCAGCTCGCGAAATTGACTTGGACCGTTACAAAACTGACTCTTGAACCGGTTGAACCGGGTTGTTAAAAGGGGATTGTGGTTTGGTAAGAAAAAGGGAAATTCCGGTGACGAATTAAAACGCCGGCGAAGGAGAATAAAGAGAGAAATGAAGAAAATAAAAGAAAAATGAAAATGAAAAACTGAAAGAGGTTCTAATAGAGAATTGGAGTACGTAAAAAGTGTAACTAGTCAAAGCTGAAGAAAAATAAACAAAACAAACACGTAAAAAATAATAATTTCTAATTGCATTAAAATTGTGGGTATCATGTAGGGCTGGCAATGAACCAAACCAACTCGAAGATAGTTCGGAATTCGACTCGACAATTAAATCGTTGAACTAGGTTCATGAAACAAATGAGTTGAGTATGAGCGAAAAATTAAGTTCGTTAACTAAATGAGCTGAACTTGAACTATACATAGTTCGACTCGTTAGGTTCATGAGTCAACTCGATTACATATGAAAAGAATTATACTGTCTTTAAGATTAGGTTTAAATATTTACTTCAAATCTTAGACAAATTTAATCTTCAATTTAGTAGTTTTTGAATTAGACTCTCAAATGTATCTCTTGAAAGTTGTGTAGGTTTTGAATTAGTAGATTTCGAAGATAAAGCTAAATATCAATATGATAACTTTTATTTTATTTTAATATTTTATTTAAAAATATATATGTTTATTTAAAATGTCAAATATACTAAAAAATATATATATTTAAAAAAATAGTTTTTAAGTTCGTGAACCATGTGAGCTGAACCTAATGAGATGAACCTAACGAGTCGAACCGAACTGTTCGTGAACTTATAACGAGTCGAGTTTGAGCTTAAAAAAAAGTTCGTGCCGAACTCGAACTCGAACTCGAATTCGAACAATTCTTAATGAGTCGAGCCGAGCTGAGGTGAGTTCGACTCGACTCGACTCATTTCCAGCCCTAGTATCATGTAAATAACTTTAGGTACGGGCGAAAGCGGGTTGGATTGAATTGGGTTATTCAACTCGAACTGACCCATTTATTTATGAATAGAATTGGGTTGGGTTTGCGGGATGCTTTTCAAATAAAAAAACTTTTGTATGATTCTTTTTGTTGATTTAAAAAAATGAAACACACTTCAATACAATCATATTTATTTATACCATTTAAACTCGATCACATCATATAATATTTAATAAAATTAATCAACATGATATAACACTTGCTAATAATATAAAATTTAACAAGACACGTTATTTCTATAAAATACATAAGTTGAAAATAATACAAGAAAAAATAAAAAATAACATTTAATATTAGAATTACGTAAATTCATTGATCTAGTAGTATTATTGGTGGAGAATAATATTTTTTAGAAAAACAATAAGATATTAATTTTATATTTTTATTTAAAATAATAAAAAATTACCAAAGGCACGTTAATAAGTTTGAGCCAACGGGTCCGCGAGTTGCAAAATTCAAACTCGATATCTAAACCAAAATTATATGAGTTGTTATGGGTTTGATTAGATATACTCGTAAATGAATGGATTTGGGTAATTTATAGGTTTGTTTGGTTTGGATCAGTGAATTTGTAGATCGACTCGCACTCATGAACACCCTTAAATAAAATTAAATAAATAAATTAATATTATATTTAATTGTTAAAATAGTTGTGTTTTTATAAAATGTTATTTTAAATTTTAAAATAGAATTTAATTATATTTGGATATTAATTTGCTAACAATTAACCAATATCAGATTTTATTATTTGAAGATTAAGTGACATTCACAATAATGTAGAGGAGTTTGAAGTTGTAGAATATGAAGAGAAAAAAAAGTATAAGAAAGATTATGACTTGAATCAAATTTTTAAGGAAGATGCGGTATTCATTGAACGTGTTTCGTGAAGGTGAAGAAGTTATGGAGAGGGTTTTTATCTGAATCAAGTGTTAGATGAATGGATGAACTTTAAATATGAGATTAAAGAGATTAAGAAAGAGTTTTTAGATTTGATGAACATTTACTTAAGTTTTTTTTTACTAGGAAAGAAATTATAAATTCTTTGAATTTGAATGCTTTTATATAAATTTAGAAAAAAACATGTGTGTCCGCACGGGTAAAAGTATTTATATAGTAAATTATTTATTTAAAATGGAATTAAATTTAATAAAAAGTTATTTTATAAGACACAATTGTATTCAATGCACATTGAGAGTAATATTTATGAATATTTTATTGGTTGAATCTAACTTATTATGTCTCATGTCACTTCAAGTATTTAAATCATATTTTTAACATTAGACACAAATGTAAATGAATGATTTCCTAACACCTATTACATAAGTAGAAAATTATCTTGAGAACGGGAATAAATTGATTATTCAATCATATACATAATAATCAATATTTCAGACATTTCATCAATGAAAATAATATTTATGTGTGATTTCTTTCTTGGATCTAATTGGTTGTGTCCCCTGTTATTTTATAAAGTATTCATATCACATTTTAACATTAAAGACAAGTACAAATGTTTCAATAATTTTATACATCTCAATTAAGACATTACCTTTACATTATCAATATTTTTATAATATTTGATTTTGTAAACTAAAATGTTGTCGAAATAGAGTAATTCTAATATAAGACAATTGTTTATATCATTTAATGAATAAAGACAAGTGCAAGGCTCTTTCAAGTATTGAGTGATCAATGAATCTAAAGAAGTTAATAAAGTATTGCTGGAAAAAAGGAAACAGAGATTAAAATCTAAAATTCACAATAATCAGACTTAGCGCAAAAAAAAAACCATAATACTCCTTTGAAAAGTAGACTATCGTGTGTTAAATATAGTTACAAAGTAGCAACTTAACCAAATTTATTTATGATAAACCTTTTAAAGTGTAATGAGACATCCATGTTGTACTAAACAATGCTCATTTATGCCAATATTTGTGATACACCTAATATTACGCTTCCAATAACATTGCTATGTAAAACATCTTTTGCGTGTGATAGTAGTAGTTGATGCCTAGAAATTTATTTATCCATGTGATAGTAGTAGCTGATACCTAGGACTGTGGTAATCAAAATATGAACTTTTTTCTAAAAATTGTGTCAATGCTATTGTATTTTCTTCTCTCCATGATTTATTCATTTGCCAGACCAACTTTATGCATATTCTTTTTCTCACACAATCCATCCATTTTTATTTTATATTAACTATACTACTAAATATAAAACTTCAATGGGCCATATAGCTCCTGAATACTTGTCAACCGGAAAGTCTTCAGAAAAGACAGATGTTTTTAGTTACGGGGTTATGCTTTTGGAGCTTGTTACAGGTCAACGTGCAATTGACTTTTCGCGTTTGGAAGATGAAGATGATGTGTTATTGCTTGACCATGTGAGAACATCATTTTAGTCCTTGCTTGTCCTCTTTCTGCTTTTGTGGTTGTTTCTTATTTGTATGAATAATTATAGGCTTCTGTTTTTCTATACTTGTGTTTTATTTAGGTGAAGAAGCTACAGCGGGAGAAAAAACTAGACGCCATTGTTGACAGCAACCTTAAAAAAGAGTACAACATAGAAGAGGTTGAAATGATTGTTGACAAAACCACTTAGGTCTGCGCGGTTTGAAGATTTGCGATCCACACTCAAGGTGCAGTGTGAAGCTCCCACCCTTTGAGCTTAAGGGGTTGTTAGAGATATATGGAAAAACACTTGAAACATTGCAAGCAAGTAAAGCTGCAGAAGTCTAATACACAGTGAACTAACAAAGTTCATTTAGTAGAAATTATTCTATTAGGTTGGTTAAAGTCCAATTAGGGGGTTGTCTCTAACAGAACTCTGATAGCTACCATGGATAGAATAGGCTTTGCAATGTATGTAATAAATGCTTCAATCGTGTAGCCGCTAACATTTTTTACATCCTATTCTTCTTTACAAAAGTTTCAGCTTTCTTAATATATAATTCAATACATTTTCATATTTATCATATCTAAGTAATTTTAAAATATCAGAATAATTTATGATTTTAGTCGTTTATTATTGGATAATGATGTAAAATTATTTGATATCGTCAATATATCTAATATTTTTTTATATTTATAAACACACGTGATTATTTAATGAAGTTAAGAATTGATTTGACTATTTAGTTTACTTGTTTTTTAAGATGGCTTTTACTATTTCTAATATTAATTATGTATGTGTTTAAATTCATGTTAAAAAAACTAAATCACGTTGAAAAATCATATCCCATACAAAACAATGAAAATAATGAAGCAAAACATATGGATAAAAGAATAAAACACACTATGGTGCCTAAAGATATAATGTAAATAATATTTTCTAGAATTTGAACACTTACAAATACTTTTTAGATTCAAAAATCTAAAGAGTATATTTTGAAATTCAAAATTTCTAAGAAGATAAAGGGGTGGAAAAGGAAATTTACCAATTTATTTTAAGTGAATTCAAATGGTTTATAAAAACTACCGAATTTGAATTGTCTGAATTTGATCAAACGAGCAGCACCATGTCATACTGTATGAATTCCTAGCCGTAGAGGAGCCAAATTCAAATACTTCAAACGTGTACATTGTAGTTTCTCACTCATTTCTCAAAACTTCATCATCTTGACCAAACACTGACTTTGTCATTGGAGTCTCTGTTGATTCCACAATTGTTTTTGTCCTCACTAGCCACCACACTGCAGTAGTATCTTCCACTTCATCACTCTTTGTTCTACAATGTTCTACAATGTTTCAAGTTCATCACTCTTTGTTCCACAATGTTTCAAGTTCTTTAATTTGTTAGTTACAACATGAGTAGGCAACAACAATCTCAAAACTGATCTTGTTTGTTTTCGATTCCATGTGCTAACGATGAAATTCAACTTCCCCTAAAATTGGAAGCAAAATCTTCAAAAATATATCTAAAATTCTTTAGACAATCTAGAGATCACCAAATTTTATTATAACAATCGAACTTTATCTCATTGAGTATTGTCGACTATATGAATCAAATTTTGTCATCCCGCCAAATTTTATTATGTTAATACAAAAAATCTCCATGCACGAATAACATGACTTAGTGGAATGATATTAATGTATGTTGAACTAATATTATTTTCTCTTTCATATATACATTTTCTTTTGATCAAACTAATTTTAGACTAAGGTAGTATTCTAGATGAAATGGGAATACCTCTAGAAAGAATATGAAGATTGAAAAAAAAATGAATGAATGATATAACAATTATCACCATGCATACATTTGAATGAATGGAGTATTCATAAGGTAAAGAAAATAAGTGTCCTAGAAACCAAATATAACAAGAAAGAAAACAAATAGGTGTGGTTCATGCGCCAAAGTTATGCCAACTTGATCCTTTATTTTATATACACTAAACTACAATAGATATATGAAGAACATCTGCCAAAAATAAATAAAAAGACAATTAATTTGAGAAAAAAATAGGGAAAATGTATGAAGATTGAGAAGAGAATAAGGAATAGACGTAAGGATGAATGTTAAACTCTTTGAGCCAACTGGTAAAAAGTTGTCAAAGTCTGAGTCGAATCTACAGAAGCTCCACGAATTGTGCGAACTCCTGAGTTTGACAACTTTAGACATAACCTCATAAAAAAAGGATGGATTCGAGGTTTCTTCATATTCATTTGTGCTTCCCAACAACTTCCTTGTTGCAATGAAAGGGGTTAGTGGAGAATTTTCCTCCGTTTACTTTAACTACGTTTGGGAGATAGGAGAACCAGCAACCTGTGACTTATGCGGTGCTTGGCTAGAAGACTTGTCTGAGTTACGAACATTGTATTTTTCGTATACCATCTCCCGGTTCTCTGACCACCAAATTTCTGCTTGGTTCTCTCCAAATCTCCTCCGGCTGCAGTTACATTTACCATCGAACACGTTACATATAAAGATCAACTGTCACGAGACAATCAAAAGCAAAATATAAGTTGGTTGCATGGAGGATTTTTCTTACCTAAAGCGCACTCGCTTCAGATCTCGTGTTCCATCGTGCATGGCCACCAGTGTTATATACACACCGGGTTCATACTGTTCAATCCATTCTGCATCAACTTGATTATTACTATTAGTAGCCAGTGCAGCATCTGTCAATTTCAAACCACTCTCGTCATTATGGAAATTCCCAGAATCCCTACCTTCAACAATATCTGACAAGCTACTACTGCTTGACTGAATCACGCTGCTTCCATTCGGCAATTTAACATCTGGATAGTTACCAGTCCCGTTAGAGGTAACACTACCCCGGATTTGCTGGTGGAGGTTAGTTCCATTGGCTCCTGGAAAATCACCTGCAGTTCTGAACAGAGAGGACTCAAGTCTTATGGAGGCTACACTAGAGCCACTTATGATTGATTCTGCATCCGCATGCTGCTCCCCATTTGAATCCGGATAGTGATTTCCGTTTGACTCAAGACCATTCGGTAGGTACGCTTGTCTAATGTTCATAGCATCATAAACTTCAGGAGGAAGCTTCTCAGCTAGATCTTTGATCTGAAACAATGTTAAATGTGTGGATCAACAATACTATTCAGTACATGAAAGAAGAGGAAGGAAAATGTATGGTAATTTACTCAAAAAGACAACATTAAATCGTTGTTAATGAGCTTTAGTTAAGGAAAAATCGATTAGGAGCACCCGAGTTTGATCTCTGACTGAAACAGAATGCAAATCAGTTTTAAAATTCCATGCAACAAAACGATGAATGATTACTATTCCTCTAAAACTGAGTTCTAAATATCTTGCTACCGATATAAAAGATATAAATGTAAATTCCATATTTTACACAATGGTTTCATCAGCATGTCCCTTTTATGCCAATGAAATTGATGAAAATTAAAAAGAAAACAGACCTGTGATGTAAGTGACTTCATAACTTCTTTTGCGGCTTTTCTTTTAGTAGACTCCTCATTAGCGAGTGCCATAGCTTCTTGAGTCTTTTTTGCTGACCTTTGAAGCTCTAATTCTTGCAGTTTACATCTTTGTTTCAGGATCTCAACCTAATGTTATCTATAATTAGAATTTTCTTGATACTATAGAAAGTTTGAGAAAAAAGTCCAACGTATAAAAGAGAATTGATATTTTGACATACAAATTTGACATCAAATTTGGACAACAATTTAGATGTTATTGTGGTTCAAATATGTGGTTAATTACATTCGGTGGATGGTTCATGAATATAGCAAGTATTGCAACTCATTGATCATCCACTGAACACAATTTAACTAGATTTTAAACGCCACTAATCATGATTTTCAAATCAAGAAACATTATAATTTTGTGTTAATGAAGGGAACTTATGCTACTTGATGCGCGCCAAAAGCAAAACAAAAATGTACCTGAGAACGTAACTTCTGCACTTCTTGATTTAAAAGTTCGTTTGTTTTCTTCAAACTATCAGCAGTATTTTTGGAGAACGAAAGTCCCGACATTGTTGGAATAGGTGTAGCTGAACGAGGAGGGCTTGATCTTCTAGAGAAAGGGGATGTAGATCTAGAACTTACTCTCGACGCTGCAATCACCGGTTTTGGTGTGGTTCGTCTCAGATCAGCAGCAGTGGAGAAGACGACGTCTCTCAGCTGTAGCAAAGGGGTTTGTGAGTATAGTGAGAATGTATCAGCTTTCTTTCCTTGTTTGGCTGCCTTATTATCTAGCTGCTTTATCAAATCCATATTTGAAGGAACAACGGCTTTAGACAATCTAAGCTCAGACTTGTCTAACCTATCCTTGTTTTCACCTGAGAGACGCGGCAAAGTGTTCCTCCGATTATGATTGCTAGCTTCTGCAACCTTGCTCAATTTGGCGTAACAAGAATCACACACACGGTAGGGCTTGTCAGGGTTAGGAGACAGTGCCGCTCTTAATGCTTTCTTTGAACTACATGAATGGCAGTGTACAAGTCCACAATTATAACAATTGTGCCGCTTTCGTGTGAAGCCGAATGCTTGTCTACAAGCTGAGCACTGAGACTGCTCCGCACCAGATACCCATTTATGAAGGCATATGGCGGCAGAGTAATTTGAACCACATGCAATATATTTCACATGTCTATCCTTCAATGCTTCAACCAAAGTTGGTGTTTTTCTATCTTCAATATCTCCATGACCTAATCTTCCGTTTGAACCTTTACCCCAAGTATAAACTTCATTTTTGGATGTTAAAACAGCCACATGATATGCACCACAAGCGATTTCTTCAACGGATTCGGACGCAATCTTATCTCCAACCAAGCATGGGAGCTTTCCATCAGACTGAGGATTCCCAAGCTGACCGTAAACTGTACTCCCCATGGTAAAAACTCGTCCGGATGTCGTCAGTCCTACTGTCAAACTGTGCCCACAAGCAATTCTTTGAAAATCGTAATCAATAATAGCAGGCACACAAGTTGGTGTAAGCCGTGCCTCCTTGTCCCCATGCCCGAGGCGATTTTTGTCTCCATCACCCCAAGTAAATAATTTACCTGACGATAAACTAGCAATAGATTGTGTTGCAATAACCTCTACAACAGCTGCAGTATGCCATACTCCACATGCAACAGCTATCGTCCTCAACCCTAATAATGATTCCACTTC